TGGTCCAATAAAAGACACCTTAAGAAATCCTAAAGTATTTCAGGATCTCAAGATTCATATAGATTCATAGTGAGAGTTTCAGATACACCTAACCAGATTAACTGTCCAATTCCTCTAGAAACCAGTGGGAGCTGCCTTGACACCTCCGGGGGTTTTCCAAAGCACTGACCTGCATTATTAAATATGAATGCCCTGCTGAAAATCTGGTCCTCAAGTCCCACAGAAAGTGAAGAGAAGTTGGGTGCCTCACCCCTTCAGACTCCTATGAAATTCTCCATCTTGCTATCTGAGTAGAAGCCAAGGTCATATGATAGATTTTTCAAGTAATATATTACCCTGAAATATCTGCACTCTCAGATAGGGAATGTGGAAATGGGTTTCTGGAAACATATTGTACTGTGTTTTTTTTTTTTTTTTTTTTAGGAGAATGGAAAGTGAATTTCCATCCCTCTGTTGTCAGCTAAACAGTTCCTCATTTGTGAAATTCACCCCCAATTTGAAAGCTTAAGTGATGCCTGTGGTCAATTTCTTCTTAAGGAGCTTGAAGAGTCTCTGTCTCTTCATTCTGTACTGACAAAGTCCAAGGTGTCCACTCACCTGGTACCCGAACCCATACAACTGAACTCAGTGGGAATTTTGCATAGACTTCAATAGTCTCAAGATCTGGGCCTTACAACAGAGGTTTTTCTCATCAACAAATTAAAAAATGGCTCCTTGCATACATGGACTCTTGTGCCCTTTCCCTTTTGTAACACTTTACAGTCCTTCTGGTCTCAGGATGGTGGTTCAGACTTTCAGAAGACATTTAAACACTGAGGGAAAACCCTTCTGCTATCATGGATTCTGGGATGCTGGTCTCAGGTATCATTTCAAAATACATCTAACTGAGACACCCACGTCCCATTTCTACAAATGACTCAGGCAGCCAGGTTCCTAAGTCCCACTGACTTTCAATGAAACTTGAACTCCTAAGTTACCGTTGAAAGCAGTCTTCCTAGGGGGTCCATGTAGGGTGTGAGACCTGTGATTCATTCCCTAGCATCTCCCCTGGTTGACTTTGGGCAAGTCACTTAGGGATAGACTTTAAAAGTATTTGGGGGCCTAAATATCTTTAAAAATATTTTGAAGCCCTCTTCTATAACATGGAGGTAGGCTTAACTGATAAAGTCCAAAATATATGCTGTAGTTTTGGGGGTGCTGAGCTCAAGTAGTTCATACTAGAATGTGTGTGTGTATGCACGTGTACGTGCACATGCATGCGTGTGTGTGTGTGTGTATGCATGTGTGCATGCACAACCCTCCTGACAATAAAACTGTGCACTTAGGTGCAAGAACACCAACCTCAGGCCCCTTGGCTTAAACATTTTGGTCCAAAGTTTCCATACTTTAATTGATCATTAGAGGGGGCTGCACTTTTTTATCTTTGAGAACAGGTTCTGTTGTAAAGTCAGGTTCTTTGAAATGCCAGCTCTTACCAGGTAAATAATAGATGAAGTGAAAGGTCACTGTCGTGTCTTTCGTATACACAGAAAGAGGAATGTGGGTCTCAGCGTATATTGATTGTACTGTAAGGGAAGAAAAGAAATCTGGAGCCACTGTGTGAACCTGCTCTGAGGAGTGGAGGGGCGTGGTAGCAAGAGGTGGAACCTCCCACTTCAAATTGGATTGTGATCCATACTTAGCTCATCTGGGCAACAGTTAAATGCATTTGCTATAGCATGGCCTAAGCAAAATGACTTTGATCTCCATCCAGGTTCCACTGGACAAGTAAAGCCACTTTGTTATTAATCTAAGGCCCTTTGTTTCAATCTGGCAGCTTCAAAGGGGTTTTGAATGAATGTAATTCACTCCCAATTTAGAGCCCCCCTGTGCTTCCAGGGTAAGTACAAAGGAACCTGTGTGTCAGTGTGAATGTGGCTTGTAGTATCCGCATTACCAGTAATTAATACAGATATTAATAGGAAGCACTTTGCCATTTTCAAAGCTCTGAGCAGAAAGGTGTCTTGGCTGGCACTAATGACTGTTCCTGTTGGCAGGCTCAGTAGAGGGATTTGCTGGGCATGCAGGATGAGCACTGATCTTGGCTTGGAGCGGATCCTTCCTCGACAGCGCTGAGGGCCATTCTGAGAGGCCAAGAGGCACATGGAGGAAGTGTGCTACTCGCCTCCCTGACGTGGTTGCCTGCCCAGGGAGCTCCTGCTGGGCATGTTCCTTTGATAAGCAAAGGACTTCAGTCTGGCAGGTTCTACCTGCACTAAGAATCAAACCATTGTAATAGAAGCAAGGGGTGTCTTGGCCTTGTGTTACAGCCTCAACAGAGGTGTTGGAGATCTGTAAACCCTGCCCTACCATACATTAACAACTGTTGCCTCCCGATACTGGGGGAGGGCAGCATAGTGGTGAGTGGGGACCGCCTATAGCCACCGGCGTTGGTGTCGATGAGTGGGGAATGCCCACAGCTGCCGACATCGGTGTCGTCATTGGTGAGTGGGGACCACCCGCAGCCACCGATGGTGGTGGCAGGGAGGGTGGGGGGTGGCAAGCAGTGACCATCCACAGAAGCTGGTGGCAGCTTCGGTGGTGGCCAATCTCGGGTGGGGGGCACGTGCCCCCACGTGCTTCCCCTACACATTGCCTATGCTACCATAGACTCCTTGGGTGCCCCTGGGCCATCATTTAATCTCTCTGTGCCTCGCTCCCCCGTCTGTAAAATGGAGGTACCCATAACTCCTGTCTCTCCTTTCTCTGTCTTGGGGTTGGGACTGTCTTACTATATTAACATGGAGCACCAAGCACAATAGGGGCCTAGTCTCACTTATAACTAAATACACCAGCACCTGAAAGACCTAAATCGCCCCATTTAGTTTCACTTATTTTGATAAGTAATGTAATTTAACCAGTGTTTCAGAAGCAGATGAAATGATCAGGTCAGATTTTAATTAACAGATGAATGCTTTTCATTGCACAATCAGCTTGCCTAAGAATTTACTTCCATGGTAGCATTGCCCTGAGGTGTGTGTGTGTGTGTGTGTGTGTGTGTGTGTGTGTACGTGTACACACACACACAAACACACATATGTATAGCATGCTAATATGAAAACCACACACACACACACACACACATACATGTATAGCGTGCTAATATGAAAACCAGAATCTTGGCCTAAAAAAAGGGAACACTCCAGTGTCTGATTACACATTTCAAAACACATGTATGATACATGCTTTGGCACTTGTCTGTGCATCCATGGGAACAAGAACATAAAACCGGAGCTCAATCCATCACTATTCATATATAAAGTTTCCTTATAAAAGCCAGGCTTACAAGCTAGTAGCCAGGGGAACTACTCCAGTAATTAGGTTTGCAATACCAGGTCACTGATTTCTCCCACTGCAGTTCTCTAGCATGATGCAGAAAGAACTGCTGGCATAAACACAGATACACCGAGGAATATTTTCCACTTGTAGATTTCCAAGCATAAATTAAACTGATGAAGCCTCACAACACTGATGTAATGCATTCTGTCTGTTTTACATATCAGGGGGGAAACTAAGGCACAAACAGGTTAAGGAACTTGCCCAAGGTCACAGAAACAGTGGCAAAGACAGGAACAGAAAGCAGAGATGAAACCTTGGCCCTGGTAAAGTCAACAGCAAAGTCTTCATTGATTCCAACGGGACCAGGAGTTCACTCAAATCCATGCTGGCTGGTCTCATCATCTACTGAGATCAGTGCAAACAAATTTATAACCATGTTTCCTATACATTTTTTAAACATGCCCAGCTGAGTGACAGCCAAGCACTAATGCTTTTGCTTTTAATCCATTAGGCTGAATGTAAGACCCAAATTGCTGTTGCTGGCCTCAGTGGAGTTACTCTGGTATCACTGTTGCTGGGAGCAGAATTTGGCCCACAGTCAACTGTGCACAAATCATAATGATATGTGTAGGATCCTTATGGCTTGGTCCTGCATCCTGTCCAATTTAAGCTGCTAGCTTCTGGGGGCTTTCTGTGGCAAAACTCTCACTGACTCCAGCAACCCCACCTTGTAACACGCTTAACTCTGTAATTACTGGTGGAAATAGAAAGTGAGCTTCATTGCAATTTTGACTCGATTTACATCTGCATCAGTAGCTCCAGGGAGGAAGAACAGGTGCCAGCCTCTTTGCCTGGGGTGAGGGAACGTCTAGAACAGCAAGGAGGGCTTCCAGCACAGGACAAGTTCCCCCTGCGTATAGGGGAGACCCCTTCCCCAGCACATAGGACAGAAATCTTACTGCAGCATATGCATCTCTGGATGGGTCCAGCTCTAAGGTGCAACTCTGCCCTGCCTTCTGCATTTCCCCTTAGGGAGGAGGCTACGACAACTGCTGACCCTGGATGCAAGCAGCTGCTCTGTGCCAGCTCTTGTCATTCTTCCAATACAGAATTACAGCTTGTAACTACTTTAAACCAATCTGTTCAATGGACAGACAGGAACAATGGGCTACTCGAATTCGGGGTGGGAGGAAACCCTTAGTACGGGTAGTTTTCAGAGGCTTTGATTAGTTTATAGCCTTTAATAACCTCAGGTCAGCTGGGCACATCGCAGGCCCATGGGATAGACCCCTCTTCCCCCTCCCCCATTCTTCCTTCCAGTCTAAGTGAAACACAGGTGCAGGGATTGGGGTGTTTATTATTGTTGTTATGATCCTCAAGGAAGTTGTTGCCAGTGGCACTGGCCAGGATATGAACCAACGGGATTTTAGTTGGGAATCCTTCTCCCCCACCCTGGATTGAAGCTGCCAACCTTTGCGGACACCTGGCAGGACAGGGTGGGGGAGGCCCACATCAGGCAAAGTGACCCTGTCCTGTGTCCTGAGCATCCCAGTCCTGCAGCTGTCCCCAGCCCTCGGTCCCACTCAGCCCCCAGGAGTTTGCAGGCTGCCGGTGCCCCCAGGGCAAAGCTTCCTGCCCAGAATCCCCCCTTCCCCGCATACAACAGGCCGGGTTTCTCTTACCTGGGGGGGAAAGAGGAGGAACTTGCTGGCAGCTGCTGGGTGTCATCAACGGAGGTGTTGCATTGGCGCAGGACAAGGGCAAAGCCGGCGCGCGGGGGGCTCAGCACAGCCAGGGCCCCCACTCCTCCCAGACACGGATCCGGATTGGGATGGGGGGGTGAGGACCCCCCGCAGCCTCCTCTCCTCCGTCTCACCTAGATCCGGCTCCCAGCCTGGCGCGCTGGGCTAGAGGGCACCTTTCCCAGCCGCCTCCAAACTTGCAGCCTCCATGGCAGCGCCCGCGGGGGGCAGGGAGCGCCGAGCCGCCGCAGGCCTCCGGCTGCAGGGCCCCGGCTCCAGCCCACCCCGGCGCTACGGCGTAAACACACGGCAACGTGACCGGAACTGGGGAGCTCGGGCTGGGGCTCGCTACCCGGGCGGCGGCCGGAGGGAGGGAGGCGGGGGGCGGCTCTCCTCGCAGCATCACGGGGATGAAATCATCCCCGGTGCCTCCCAGCCCGCGGGGGCTGCTGATCCGGCGCTGCCGCCCGGCCAGCACCGCACCGCACCGCAGCGCGCCCGGGGCCCGGCCTGTCCCCCCGGGGCCGGCGGCCGCTGTCCGCGGTGCTGAGCGCGCCCACGTGCGTCCCTCCCGCCACGACCCCATCCTCGCCCTCCGGCTGCTGCGGCAGCCCGCGCGCCGTCTGCCTTTCCCTTTTCTTTCCCCCTTCTTCTTCTTCCTTTTTCTCCTCTTCTTCTTCTTCCTCGTCGTCGTCGTCTTCTTCTTTTTTCTTTTTCTTCTTCCTTTTCCTCTTCGTCTTCTTCTTCTTCCTCGTCGTCTTCTTCTTCCTCGTCTTCTTCTTCTTCGTCTTCTTCTTTTTCTTCCTTTTCCTCCTCTTCTTTTTCTTCTTCTTCCTCGTCTTTTTCTTTTTCTTCCTTTTCCTCCTCCTCTTCTTCCTCATCTTATTCTTTTTCTTCTTCTTCCTCTTTTTCTCCCTTTTCTTCCTTCTTTTCCTCTTCCTCCTGTTTTTCTCTTCTTCTTCTTCCTCTTCCTTGTCTTCTTTTTTTCTTCTTCTTCCACATCTTTTTCATTCTCTTTTACTACTTCTTCCTCTTCTTCTTTTTCTTCTTCTTCCTCTTTTTCTCCCTTTTCTTCCTTCTTTTCCTCTTCCTCCTGTTTTTCTCTTCTTCTTCCTCTTCCTTGTCTTCTTTTTTTCTTCTTCTTCCACATCTTTTCATTCTCTTTTACTACTTCTTCCTCTTCTTCTTTTTCTTCTTCTTCCTCTTTTTCTCCCTTTTCTTCCTTTTTTTCCTCTTCCTCCTCTTTTTCTCTTCTTCTTCTTCTTCTTCTTCTTCTTCCTCGTCGTCTTCTTTTTCTTCTTCAAAGCTGCTCAGGACAAATCTTGCTTTAATACTAGCTCCCAGTCCAGGGGATGTACTGACAGTGCATTGGTGACTCCAGCTGCTGAGCCACTGGAAGGTTTGAGTGCCCATATTTATGGCTCTGGAGCTACCTAGAGCAGCGGTTCCCAAACTCTTGACAGATTGTGTACCACCAATTTAACATGATACAACCTTGAGTACCACCAGCAGCAGATTTTTGATACATTTCATAGACATTAGGGGTTGAAAGGGACCTCATGAGATCATTGAGTCCAGCCCCCTCTCCTGCTATAGGCAGGAAGTTATCTGGGATCACGTGATCCCAGCAAGAAAAAGATCCAGATGTTTTTTGAAAGAGTCCAGAGTAGGTGCTTGCACCACCTCTGCGGGGAGTCTGTTCCAGACCCTGGACACACACACTGTAAAAATGTTTTTCCTTATGTCTAGTCTAAATTGGCCTTCCTGGAGTTTGTGGCCATTAGACCTAGTTATCCCTTGGGGAGCTCTGGTGAACAGCTGTACTCCCAGGTCCTGATGTACCCCTCTTATATAATTGTTGGCTGCTACTAAGTCACCCCTGAGCCTTCTCTTTTCCAGACTGAAGAGTCCCAAATCCCTCAGCCTCTCCTCATATGGCCTGCCCTCCAGGCATTGGATCATATGAGTGGCTCTCCTCTGGACTCTCTCAAGCTTTTCCACATCCCTCCTGAAGTGGGGGTCCCAAAACTAGATGTAGTACTCCAGCTGCAGCCTCACCAAGGCTGAATAAAGTGGGAGGATGACGTCCCTGGTTTTGCTTGAGATACATCGGTAGATGCATGCCAGAGTTTGGTTTGCTTTGCCAGCCGCAGCATCGCATTGGTGACTCATATTCATCTTGTGGTCAATCGGGACCCCCAAGTCTCTTTTGGTCATGGTGCTAGCACGCGTAGCACTGCCAAGCTTGTAAGTGTGTTGAGGGTTCTTCCTACTGAGGTGGAGCACCTTACACGTCTCAACATTGAAGGCCATCCGGTTTTGGTCAGCCCACCTTGAGAGCATGTCCAAGTTGGTCTGTATTCCCAGCCTGTCCTGCAGTGTGACCACCCTCCCCCATAATTTGGTGTCATCTGCAAACTTTTTTGGTTCAACCCTAAGTACCACTAGCAAATTTTTGTCATATAAAGTAATTATAATAAATCTGTTAGTGAGTACCACTGACAGGTTATCTGTGTACCACCAGTGGTAGCTGTGCCACAGACTGGGAACCACTGAGCTAGAGAAATCAGAGGGGAAAGTAGCAGGGAAACTGCTGGGCAGGCCTATGGTAGTTACCCTCCCTCCTCACTCCATTTTGGGGGGGACACTGAGGTTGGGGGGAAAAAAAGAAGAGAAACCCAAATAGTCAGTGCAAGCTGAGAGGAAATTCCTGATATTTCAGGGGGGAAACCATCCACGTCTCATTGTTTGTATCTCTTTTTGTGTGCCCATCTCTTTGTACATAGACAGTATTGAACAGTCTTGGAACCACTCTGATTTGTTGGCTTTCTGGCTTAGCAGGCACTGTTACTGGTATTCACATAAAGTCAGGAAAAGGGTGGCAGTTGACATCCAATGAAGATCAGGCATCCTGAGAATATATCTCTAGGAAAAAAATGTTCTGCAGTACCACAAGAAGACATGCAGAACTTTAGAAGTCTTGTTTCAGAGATGATACCTTTTATTAGACCAGCTAAAAAATCGCTAAAAAAAAAATCTTTGCAATTTCTTAATTGGTCTAATAAAAGGTATCTTCTCTGAAACAAGACTTCTAGAGTTTTGCATTTCTTTTTGTCTCAGACCAACATGGCTACCAAATGCATCCCTGAAACACAGTACCATAGAAACTCAACCTCTGCCCATTACTTTCTTAAGGCAAAGGTCAGACCTTGCAGTGGGCTCCACAGCCAGTCCCTTCAAGATCTATTGGAGGACTAGCTGCCTCAGGTTTTAACATGGATAGTGAAGTGTTCTTGCCATTCCAGGAGGCATTGCAAGGTAAATACATGACACTAAAAGTCATCATTGAATAATCACAGGATGGAAAGTGTCAGTGATGATGAGTTTCTTTGGAGGCAGAATCAGAAAGGCAGCCACCATCAGGTTGTCTATGCTAGACATTTTAAATGTAATAACTATGAATCCTTCTCATTTTCTAGCATTTCCCTCTTAGATCTCAAAGGCATTCTAGAGATACTCAGCTGGATCAAACTGTCACCTTCATGTTTGAATGAATCACTGCTTCCCTGTGTATGTCCATCTAAAATGTCTTTCTTATCCTTAAATACCTAAGTTGCATGAATAACATTAATTCAGGCTTCTAATGTAAACTGGACAGATCAACATAGCCTAGTTTATCCAGTCTCCCAGCGGGGTTTGTGGAAACATCATTATAAGGAACTGTTACATCTAGACTGAACAAAGCACCAAAATGTGTCACATAGGAAACAATCCTGCCTTGTCTCTAAGGGAATGAACTAGGTGCAATTTAGTAGGTTGGTTCCAATTTTATGAGTCTGTGATTTAGTGATGAGAGGGCCAGACTCCCCACTGATGCAAATCAGCAGGGTGCTATTTGGTGGGGCTATGCTAATTGACACCTGCTGAGGACGTGGCCCAGTGTCTGGAGTCAAAATTTCCTTCATGGAGCCAGTTTAATTTACACGAAACCAGAGACAGTCAAATAATGGAAAAGATGATTGGCGAATAATTACTGCATGCAAAAAAAAAAAAAAAGAAGCCTATTATTTGCAATGAATTATTCAAGCAGCCCTGTTTAAGGCTCAGTCTCTGACAAATGTAATGGGGCGCTCCATCTCTTTCTTTCATACACATCCATTCACGCCTACTCCTGCTGGCTTCTCTCCAGCCAAGGTGCTCATAAAAAATTAGTTCCTTTTGGAATGCCAAATTGTTAGCAGGTGATGGATTTTGTAGATTAAAATGAGCACAATGACGGTGATTGAGTTCAGAGAAATGTTGCCTCATTATTACTGTGACCCGATTTATAATAATCAAATCAACACTCACTAGAGCTTAATTTGTCTGTTGCTTTTCCAAATTTGCTGTGTATGGGCATTTATTTTTAATGTCTCATTTTCTTTTCCCTTAACTCTTTTATTGTAACCTGGAAAACAAATGAGTTATTTGAGTGGGGTAGGAGGGAGAATGTAAAGGGTGATTTCTGAGTGTGTCGTGTTTCACAGGATTTGTACAATCTTCATTGATTTTTGACTGTATAAAAGGCAGGCCTGCAAAAGATCAAGGTCAGACATTCAGGGACAGACAGCTGCCTCCTAAATGAGGTCATTGCTCCAGGATAAAATCAGACTGAAGAGAGAGGTGGTAGTGGAATACAATACATCCTCTGTGCCCAGAATGAAGTGTGGATGAAGCATATTGCCTCTATAGTGATTACATAGAGGCTTGGATTCAGCCACAATGCACACACGCTATTAACACATTGTCTCATCGTCTATCTCTAGCAGTAGATGGCAGGGAAAGTGGATTAACAGGCTGTTCTTAGTTCTCAGAGAGCCAAGTCTCCAACACCTTTGGTGCATGATATATCACACCCAAACAATTACTATAGTGACCCTTATTATTCCTTATTATTGCATTAATCCAAATTCCCTTGACTAATAGGTAGATGCTTTGTTGTCACGGCTACTGGCACAAAGCATGCACACCATTTAAGTCCAACTTACACCTTTGAAATAGGGGAACAGGGTGAATTTCAACTGATATCGCCATATATAATTAAATATAAAAAATTTTTATACTGAAATATGTTGCAGTGAATATTGAGAAAACACTTCACTGCTTGATACTTTTTCTCAACTTGAACAGATGAGAAAAAAGTTCCCGGTGGTAGCTGAAGATGTCATTTCAATGCCAAAAATGAGTTATAATTTCAACCCAAACACCTGTTGGATAATGTGCAGCTCCCAGTACTTTGTATTTAAAGCTTTTGGCAGCTCATTGGAGG